GGTTCACCTCCCCTTCCAATTTCCCTCAACTCCCTTCTCCTCTCCATCTCCCCTTGTCCTTCATGCTATTTGTTATGCTCCACAAATAAGTGAAACCATATGATAATTGACTCTCTCTGCTTGACTTATTTCACTCAGCATAATCTCTTCCAGTCCCGTCCATGTTGCTACAAAAGTTGGGTATTCATCCTTTCTGATGGAGGCATAATACTCCACAGTGTATATGGACCACATCTTCCTTATCCATTTGTCCATTGAAGGGCATCTTGGTTCTTTCCACAGTTTGGCGACCGTGGCCATTGCTGCTATAAACGCTGGGGTACAGATGGCCCTTCTTTTCACTATATCTGTATCTTTGGGGTAAATACCCAGTAGTGCAATGGCAGGGTCATAGGGAAGCTCTATTTTTAATTTCTTGAGGAATCTCCACACTGTTTTCCAAAGTGGCTGCACCAACTTGCATTCCCACCAACAGTGTAAGAGGGTTCCCGTTTCTCCACATCCTCTCCAACACATGTTGTTTTCTGTCTTGCTATATGTGCCCTTCTTAATGCCTATCACTCAGCTACCCTATCCCCTCACACCCCTCCTTTCTATAACCCACAGTTGGTTTGCAGGGGTCTAGTGTCTCTCATGATTTTCTCCCTCTCTGATTTCTTCCCATTCAGTTTTCCCTCCCTTCACTGTGGTCCTCCACACTATTCCTTATGTTCCACATATGAGTGAAACCATATGATAATTCTCCTTCTGTTTGACTTATTTCACTTAACATAATCCCCCCCAGTTTCATCCATGTCAATGCAAATGGTAGGATTCATCCTTCCTGATGGCTGAGTAATATTCCATTGTATGTATGAACCACATCTTTTTTATCCATTCATCTGTTGAAGATCTCTTCCACAGTTTGGCTATTGTGGGCATTGCTGATATGAACATTGGGATGCAGGTGCCCCTTCTTTTTACTACATCTGTAACTTCGGGATAAATACCTAGTAGTGCAATTGCTGGGTCATATGGTAAGTCTACTTTTAACTTCTTGAGGAAACTCCATCCTCTTTTCCAGAGTGGCTGCACCAGCTTGAATTCCCACCAACGGTATAAGAGTGCTCCCTTTCTCCACATCCTCCCCAACATTTTTTGTTCCCTGTCTTGTTAAAGTTGGCCATTCTAACTGGTGTAAGGTGGTATCTCATTGTGGTTTTGATTCAGACTTCCCTGATGGCAAATGATGTGGAGCATTTTTTCATGTATCTGTTAGCCATTTATATGTCTCCCATGGAGAAGTGTCTGCTCACGTTTTCTGCCCATTTCCTGACTGGATTATTTGGTTTTTGGGGTGCTGAGTTTGAGAAATTCTTTATAGATCTTGGATATCAGCCCTTAATCTGTTATGTCATTTGCAAATATCTTCTTCCATTTTGTAGGTTGCCTTTTAGTTTTGTTGATTGTTTTCTTTTCTGTGCAGAAGCTTTTTATCTTGGTGAAGTCCCAATAGTACATTTTGCTTTTGTTTCCCTTGCCTTTAGAAATATGTCTTGGAAGAAGTTGCTGTGACCACGGTTGAACCTTTTTATATTTCTAAATTAAAGTTAAATTTTCTAATTTTACACCAGTTGCAAAGCTATTAATAAAAGAATTTTTAAAAACATGCTGCTAAAGCAAAATATTACACTATCTATAATCCAACTTCGATCCTGTAAATACAGTGGTTTAACATTTTATTATAACATAAAGTGGTAGTCCTAAATATTTAGTTATGATTCCTGACTAAACTCTCATTAGCATAATAATAAGCCATCAAGACTTTGTGCCCATTGTGAGTTAAGTCAAGTCAGGTATCAACAGTTTTGTAAAAACTTACTATCTCAGGTAGACTTCAGAGGTGCAGATTCGTGTTCTCTTGGTTCCAGTGGATAATTACATGCAAGAAAATGAAACTGGACCCCTATCTTACACCACTCACAGAAATTAACTCAAAATGGGTTACAGACTTAAACATAGGAATCGAAACTGTAAAACTTCCAGAAGAAAAATTCTGGAAAATAATCTTTGACATCAGCCTTGGCAATGGTTTTTTAGATATGATACCAAAAGTAAAGGCAAACAAAAGCAAAAATTGGTAAGTGGGACTACATCAAACTAAGTACTTCTCCACAGCAAAAGAAACAGTCAACAAAATGAAAAGAAAACCTATGGAGTGAGAGAAAGTATTTGTAAACCATCTATGTGATAAGGGGTTAATATCCAAAATATATGAATAATGTATACAACTCAACAATAAAAGAACCTGGAACAATCCAATTAAAAATGGACAGGGAAACTGAGTAGACTTTTTCCAAAGAATATGTACAAACGGTCAACAGGTAGGATCAAAGTGTGCTCAGTTTCACTACTTTTCAGGGAAATGCAAATCTAATCCACAAGGACATATACCTCACACCTATTAATATGGCTGTTATCAAAATGACAAGAAATATCAAGTGTTGGTGAGGATGTGGAGAAAAGGGAACACTTGTACACTGTAAGTGGGAATGTAAATGGGTTCAGCCATTATGAAAACATGGAGTTTCTTCAAAATATTAAAAATGAACTACCACACAATGCTGGAACTCCACTTCTGGTTACCTATCCAAAGTAAATGAAATCAGGATATTAAAGAGATATCTGTACTTCTATGCTCATTGTAGCATTATCCACAATAGTCTAGATATAGAAACAAAGTGTCTATCTGCCAATCAGTGGATAAAGAGGACATTATATATATGAAAAATGGGATATTATTCAACCAGGAGAAAGAAGGAAATCCTTCCATTTCCAACAACATAGGTGGTCCTGGAGAGCATTGTACTAGATGAAAAGAGAGACAGAGAGAAAAAAAAATCTTGTATGATATCGTTTGTATGTGGAGTCTATCAACAATAGAAAAATCCTCTTTCATAGAACCAGAGAATAGAATGGTGGTTGCCAGAGGGAAAATGGAATAGGAGGAGGAAATGGGAGTTGCATATCAAAGGGTCTAAACTTAAAAGTTATAAGACAGGGGCACCTGGATGGCTCAGTGGTTTAGCCTCTGCCTTCTGCTCAGGTCATGATCCCAGCATCCTGGGATCGAGCCCCACATCGGGCTCTCTGCTCAGCAGGGAACCTGCTTCCTCCTCTCTCTGCCTGCCTCTCTGCCTACTTGTGATCTCTATCTGTCAAATAAATAAATTAAATCTTTTTTTTTAAAAAGTTATAAGACAAATGAGTTCTGAGGGTCTAATGTACAGCATGGTGACTATGGTTAATAATATGGA